CCCCCCCCCTTATTATCTCGAGCTTAAAATAATAAATCACATTTACGGAGGCATTAAAGGCCTCCCAAGAGGGTGTCATTACGAAGCATTGAATGGAAGTACAAAACAAGGGACTCTCATTCTGGGGGAGCCCTGGAACTCATATTTAATGTACCTTTCCTTTTATCCTTCTCTTCCAAGCTGTATAATATTATTCTTTCTTTCCCTTGAAGCCTCGTACACCCCCCTTTCCAATCATCTTTCACATCCACGTATATATATATATAAATATATATTTTATTTTATTTTAAATTCTAGACCAGTCTCCATCATCTCACTTCATTTATTTATTTTCCATCATGTACTTTTTCATTATTTATACTAACCCACTGCCATACCATATGATTGGTGGATGGATCTATTAACTATAATCCCTGACGAATATCCATCTAAACAAAAGCAAAACTTGCTGATAATGACAGGGGTAATTTCGACAAATAGGTGCTGAAAACTGTACACGTCAGTCACTCCCTTCTAGAAAGCAGCACGGGACCTAGACCCTCGCTCTCTCTCGCTCTCCTCTATTACGAGCCAGCGAAGACCCAGCTGTACCGTCCACGTGTACAATCCCCCTCTCTATCTCAAATGACCCTGTCTTCTCCACTCCCTCACCCTCACCCACCACGTGGCAGGCATCACACCCTTCTTAAATCACAACCACGTCTACACAAGCGACCTACCGTATCACAAGCTAATCAAACGGCCCAAATCCCACCCGTACAAAAGAATATTCTTCCATTGCCAAACACTTACCAAGCTGACTGAAGGCGTGTTCACTGCGTGTTTGGTTCGCGTAAGAAAGTACTCACCCATGCTTGGGAATTGTATGCTATTGACCCAGTAATTATCCTATAAAGAGAGAGAGAAAATAAAAATAAAATATTTTTATAATAGAAAATAAGATTTTATCACCTTTTACTTTTTACTGAGATCAAATATAATTTTCTCATATTTGTTTTCAATTAACTTTATATTATTAGGGGTGTTAAAAAGTGTGTTAGTGATTGATTTTTGTTAAAAATTATATTAAAATAATATATATTTTTTATTTTAAAAAAATTATTTTTAACTTTATAATATTAAAATAATATAAAAACTTTAAAAAATAATTTAAAATAAATAAAATAATTTTTTTTAATTTTTTTAAAATATTTTTAAAAAACCAAAACAAACACCATTTAACCATCAAATAATCACCGAAAACCGTCGCTCCTACTTGATAAGAAACTAAAATCGTGAAGAACTCCTGAAATTTAGAGCGTCTTTAATTATTGATTGTAATTAAGAAAAAATCATAACTGTTTTAATTAGACCTTTCCAATTCCAGCCAACCACCATGAAACGCGGGGTCCATTTCTGCCCTAATAAAATCCCTATCCCTCTTGGGGTTTCTCTCTCACAGTCACGCACAGCCATTACCTCTCAGACCAACCTCTTCTCGCTCTAAAATCACTCCCCACCTCTCTCTCTTCTCAATCATATTGTTTTAATGCGATAATGCCTGCCACGGACTATCAAGGTTCGTCGGCATCCCTTAGACATTCTATTTTAAGTCTCCGACGCGACCCCGTCCATTCCATGGACTCTCAACAAAGCACCTCAGCTCTCGAGCTCGAGCTCGAAGCTTTTCAGAGACAAGTCACCGAGCGATTTCTTGAGTTATCATCGGCCGGACCTGATCGCTTGCTTTCGTTGGCTTGGATCCAGAAACTCCTCGATTCTTTCTTATGTTGCCAGGAGGAGTTTAGAGTCATTCTGTTCAATCACAAGTCGTTGGTCCACAGACCGCCTTTGGACCGGTTTGTTCAGGATTATTTTGAAAGGACTGTCAAGGGATTGGATGTTTGTAACGCGATTCGTGATGGGATTGAGCAGATCAGAGAGTGGAAGAAGCTTTTGGAGATTGTTTTGTGTGCTTTGCATAATCAAAGAATGTTTGGTGAGGGTCAGTTTCGCCGAGCTAAAAAAGCTTTGATTGATTTGTCGATTTCTATGCTTGATGAGAAGGATTCGAACGCATCATCGGCTTTGGCTTATAGAAACCGATCTTTTGGAAGACAACAAGCTTCGTCAAGAGACCAGCATCATAGGAATCTTGGGCATTTTAGATCGTTGTCGTGGAGCGTGTCGCGGTCGTGGTCTGCTGCTAGGCAGCTCCAGGCAATAGGGAATAATTTGGTTGCGCCGCGAGGGAATGAAGTTTTGGCCACTAATGGAATTGCGGTGGCTGTTTATACTATGAATACGATTTTGCTTCTCGTAATGTGGGCACTTGTGGCTGCGATTCCATGCCAGGATAGAGGGTTGCAGGTCCATTTTTCGATTCCTAGGCAGTTGCCGTGGGCGCAGCCGGTGGTGTTGTTGCACGAGAGGATTTTGGAGGAGTCACGGAAAAGGGATAGGAGGAACGCACCTGGGTTATTGAGAGAGCTTTATCAGATGGATAAGTGTGCGAGGGTTATGGGCGATTTGATGGATTGGGTTCAGTTTCCGTTAACAGAGGAAAAGGAAGGTGAGGTGAGGCAAAGAGTGAATGAATTGGCAAGTGTTTGTGAGGTTTTAAAGGAGGGATTGGATCCCTTGGAAAGGCAAGTTAGAGAGGTGTTCCATAGGATCGTTCATAGCCGGACTGAAGGGCTTGATTCTTTGGGAAGGCCTAATCATGTGTAATGTTTTGAGTGATGGGCCATTTGTGTTTTGGGAGATGAAAATATGGAGAATGATTCTGATCTAAGTCATGGTTTGAAAATAAATGGGTAAGGAAAGGAGATTTTTCGGAAAATACATGTTGTGTAAAGAAATGTAGGATATGGAAATTGGGGGAATGCTTGCAGTACATGGCTGCTGATCTCCAGCTTTCCTTGCTATTGTATAATCGAAATTTTCTCGAGTAAAAATCGCATCTTGCTGTTGTAGCTGATTTTGTGTTCTCGTTTTGATCTTCTTTTTGTTAGTGGTATAACATATACTCTTTTGTGTATTGGAAAAGGAGAGAATTAATTGCTCAAGTTATGATCTTTGGTTATTACGTCTGATGGCTTTCGATATTCCTACAAGCTAACAATAATTGTATTTATCTCATAGTCACATCCTTGGAGAATGTATGTTGCTGGGCTGATAGAAACAAATATTGCACTTGTGTTTATTAGTGTTATGATATCTTCTCTTTCATATCTAAGATTTGTTGAGCTTGCAGGTAGTATTTTTTTTTCTCCTTTAACTATCTTGCACAAAATTGGTGATCTCGTGACCTGACGTAGTAATATGGGCAGTTGGCTCTTGCCTGCTCCTCACCCGGCTTTCTGTCAAGGATTCAGCTGGGGAATGTTGCATCTATTGATTACCTGGTTTTACATTCATCAAATATGACAGCATTTGCTCACATCTCAACTGGAAGTTATTGTCTCCGTGGACGAGGACGGGGATAGATCTTGTTTATCCTCCGTTTTCTGTATCCTTATCTTTTTCATAGTTCTTTTAGCAAATAAAGACTAGAGAATTCCTTTTTGAAATTTCTTCTGACCTAGTTAATCTCCGACCACCAATAAATTACTGCAGGAACTCGAGTTCCCGCTTGCATTCTCACAGAGGTGGGTCTTACGTATAACAGGTCAAGATCCAAGTTTTATGTTAGTTAGAAGGTTCGCTTGACTTTGATTTGCTTCCATATGAACTTCTTCTCAGGCTAGTTTTATAGTGTTGCAATTTGCAAAAAAAGTTTAATATTTTTTTTTTATATAAAAAAAGTAGTTTAATATCTTGGTGGCATCCGCTGTTGTAGTTGACTTTGATTCAGTCTTATTTTCGAGTCCTTGAAAGCTCTGGCATTTTGACCCATGAACATTTTGCATCTAGAATAGAATTTCAGCAATTTCTTTATCTAGAATACAATGCATTTTAAGACTTTCTAGAGCTCTTTTTTTTTCTTTTTTTTTTTTTGTTCTTTTGATGAGGACATTATATTCTTCGTATTTTTATTGTTTGGAGTGTCAGAAACGAAGACCACATCAGCCAAGTTTCCAAGATATGCTTGTGGGTGAAATCTTTATGCTTGTTTCTGTTTCATAATCAGCGTTTTACTGTTTACCCTACTTGATCTAGGAAACAGAGAAATATTACATTCTTGATCTTACCATATGAACAATCAATAAGAGGGTAGCCACGGCACCTAATGGGACTGTGATGAGATTCCATTTTTATTTAGCCTATTAATGGATATACAATTGGACATGGAGTCGATTTTTTATGTGCAGAAACCAGTGTTGAATTGCGAAGCGTTGTGAGCACAGCAAATGCAATCCAATGCTTTGTTTCATAGCTGCAAGACTGTAATTCACCTCTCCTAAAAAAACACCCGTCTCTATGATACAACCATTACCTTGTTGATGCTTTGCTTCATCGTTAAGAGTTCCTGAATCTTTGTACTGCGAAGCGAAAGCTCCCACCACACCTCTTATTCTTTCCTGCCCCACCTCTTATCCCTTCCTGTCTTCTATATTCGCTCTCTGATTTGCATCCTTTTTCCCCATCCTATCCTTCCCTTTGCATGAGAAATCGATCTTCTTTCCAGCAAATATTACAGAGCAAGAACGCAAAAGGTCACAGCTCCATGTTCAAGAGTAAATAACTTTACCGGATCTCTGGGATGCCATTTATACCTTGTTCTGCTTTATTTACAACTACTCCATATCTCCCTGATAAACTAGAGCAGTTGTGTACTCTATTTTACTAGCCCATGGGCTCAAATTTTAGTGACATTCAAGACTTGCTCTCGCTGCTTCAAACACTTGAATTTCTAGCCACACGTAGCGTGTCAGGTGTTAGGTATTTGTCGGCAAAATAATTGATCCACCAATCTGGTTAGCCCATGTATAACCTTGGGGACACCTAGCAGAATTTTGAGAGGATCAGTAATGGTTGTAAAACCTATCAATCGTGGCTTAATTCTGGGCATTGATAATTACTTGATTCAACTGTGCACATCTGATTGCCATTTCTTCTCTACTGCAAACAGCTGGGTCTAGCCCAATATAATAGATTGCTGAAGCCTTAAATCTTGTCATTCCTCTCCAATAAATTTCTTCATCGGTGTTTTCTAAAAGGAAATTTCTTTAACAACCCATCACTACCTTACAATTTATACCTCAGGCATGGTTGGTGAAATTCTACATCCTGAATACAGCAGATTGGACTACCAACTAGTGAAAATAGCAGAGTGGCCACCACGATGCTGGTCCTCCTTACAGGTTGGTGGCTGTCATAACTCTTGAGGTTTAATTTCTAAAAGCTATTTTTGTCCTTCCTTGGTAGGGCTGAAATCCATATTTTGCAGTTGTAAAAAACTTTGGTTTCTGAATGATCAGTCTACTTCACTACTATAGTGACCTAAATTTGTCGAGTTTCAAAAGGAAAATCTCCTCTCTTCTTAGCCTTAATACCATTTAAAATACACAAGAAGTTCGAGGATGAAAATCTGAATTGACATATCACAGTTCTCGGTACAATTTCTCCTTGTGTGTTTTAAAGATTAATTTTTAAAATATTTTTGTTTAGAAATTTATAAAAATAATATTCTTTATTATTTCTTCAATTTAAATCTTTGATTAAACCGCGATAACGAACACCCTGTACGTAAATGCAAACCACGCCATGGGGCTATCTTATCGGAGCTTTTTCGTTCAACCTTCTTCAGCTTTCAACAGCTCTCTAGCTGCAAGGCTTCAAGAAAGATGGGCCCCTTTAACGGCACAAAAGGGTGGCGATCTTTTTCAAGTCATTCAACTAATAGTGGCCCCTCTTTAACTCTCATGCAGTTTAGAACATGGCACCTTGTGATGCACGTGTCTGGGCTCTACATGGACCTAATACCCACAAATACAGAGACACCACACAAGAAATTTCTAGCACTTGGCCCTTGGTGGATTGTTTCTGTCGAGTCGTATGCTTTTTCAGTATTCACTGGAAAAAGGGGGTGTCTCCTAATCAATAATCAACAGGGAGATTTAGTTGAATTTTATTCTCATTTCTTTAGCTGATAAATCGGTATGTGACATGGTTGTTCGTTATTTGGCCATTTATTACCATCTATTGATAAATGATAGTGAAGTCTGTTAATCAGCTGCGATGAATACAGTATCAATACACTCCAAAAAGACTCCAAGCACTAGGGGATGCGATGAAGAGCAGGAATTCGGGAAATAAAAACTGGAAACCACAAAAACACTGGTGAATGTGTAAAAGGTTGTCAAGCTAGTGGCAAATTACGTCCTTTACTTATCCAGTTCATAGAACTGAACTTTTATTTCATGCTTGGTTGACAGCTGAAAACAAGGATCTCTTGAAGCTATCTTATTAGGCAAACATGGTTAATTGATCATTAAGTTTTAAGATTCAGCACCGCTAGCTATATGTTCTAAGAAATCTTATTTCCCTAAATTTGTTGCAGGAACATGATGTGATTGCTATATCTTGGACACGAACTTAAGGAATTTACCTCTTGTAAGAATGAATCGCAATCACACAACAACCCATGTTCTTTGCAACCGAGAATGTTGCGTAGCGGTTGGACCCCAGGTATTCTAGTCCTAACAAAATAGCACCCCTTCATTCTATTCCAGTATCAATATCTTTGAATCATGTTTACGCTTGTGAACATCAAGTCGATCGTTCTATATCAATTAGCTAATCTGATGCACTAGATTTTATTGTTTTCAGCAAAAACAAAGCAATTAAAGCCAGAGTTTTACGTATAATTCATCTTTTCTTAGCTCTAATCCAATCAATGACAAGCACTACGATAGAGACGAGAATGGCCGAACCTGCAAAAACAAGAGGAGGACATAGCTTGGTTCTTCTTGAAACAGGATCATTTCTATTCGTTGCTGCTTCTTTGATATCATTTCCTATTCCATGGCTTTCTTTGCTCCCTTGGGCTTCATTGTTTCTTGACTTGTCTGCAGGATGTGGAGTTTCAGCCAGCTTTTTTTCTTCATCAGGTTCGAGCATCGTTGGTTCTTGAACATTTGTTTCTGTTTCTAGCTTTTCTGATTCGTGTGATATTTCAGTCTTGTCTAAGTGATTTGCTTCTTCTGTATGTCCATGATCAGCTTGCGCTGATGGTTGGTTTGACACTTCTGGTGGGTTAGTCTCTTGATCCATGACAGCTTCTGTCAATTGATTGCGCTCTGGTCCATAAGGGTGTTCTTCCAACGTTTCTTCACGAGTGCTCTTGGCCTCTGGGTTTTGCTGTTTCTTCCCCTGCTCTTTCAAACCGGGAAGCTCCTCGCTTCTAGTTTCTTCAGCTGGAGCGGCCTCTTTTGACTCTTGGTGTTCGATCTCTTTCTCAGGCAAAACTAGCTTAGGTTTCTGGATTACTGTTTCCTGATATGTAGCGGAGGTGGTAGTAGAAGGAGGTTCTGCCTTTTCAGGAGTGGCTTCTTCTAATTCGCTTTGATCCGTGGGCTCTAGTTTCTTTATTAACGTTGTATCTACAACTCTTTCAGGCACTATTTCAGCTGCATCAGCCTTTTGCTCAACAACATTTTTATTTTGCAAAGCTTGGCCACTTTGTTCCACCGTCTTCAACTCTGGCTCCCTACTCTCTACTTCAGATGCTTTATCGGCTACAGCTTGTGTAGCTTCACCTTTCCCTTTATCAACCTCCTCTCCCTTAACTTCCTCTAGCTCAACATCACGAATTCCTTTCACCAATTTCGGAAGAATAATCGTCAAAGTCGATTCTTCATCATTGAATCTTGCCTTGATTTTATCCAGAACGACCCCATCAGGAATTCGGAAGGCCTTCCGGAATGACCGTAACTCAACCTCTTTTTTGTGCATAATCCACCCTATCAACACCATCTCCTGAACTGGCTTCTTCCCACTAATTGAGATCCGATCACCATCTTCATTAATCTTGATGTCAATATTCTCCTTTCTAAAACCTGCACTTTTTTCACAATATCCAGCATGATCACAACAACAATATTAACAACAACAGGAACTTGAAGTATGAACATTAGTTATTACCTTTGAGATATCCAATAAGGGTGAACATGGTCTCGGTTTCTCTAGAAGAGAAAAGAGGACCGGCATGATCTTTAGCAATCCGAAGGTCGGTGAAGGAGTTGATATCATCTCTAGTGCGGGTGATTTTGAGCCCCAGTTCAAGCTCCATGGCTCGGTACAATTTTATATATAAATATGTAAAAAATGAGATAGATTTGTTAGTCAAGGATGAGACATGAGATGCATTTTAACGAAGCAAGAGAAGAAATGACAAGGTGGCTTTGATGCATGTGCATAAGAAAAGCACATATTCATTGCTTCTTAATCTTGAATTGCTATAAACAGTGTATAAACTGGTTAAAAGTCGGTTGCTTTTGATGTATGTTTTCACCTTGGCGGGAAGCTAACGGCTCTTTTTGACAAACTGACTTGTCTGGCGTCTGGAAAAAAGTTTCAACCAAGTCCTCCTGCGTAGGTTTAAAAGCTTATTTTATAATTAATTCATTGAGATGTTTGACAATATATGTGTAATCTCTATTCATTTAGCATACATGTCATCAATTCTCAAATAAATTTTAAAATAACATAAAATATAAGCATTTTAAAATTTTATACCATTTACTAGATTAATAACAAAGAGAGCTAGAAGGAATTACTAACCAGTAGGCAGCTTTGGACAGTCTTTCCAATACTTTTTCCCACTTCGGGCAATTTCTAGGGCCAAGAAATCAAAACTTTTGTTGAAGACAGCACCGGTTAAAGAAGATGTGAAATAGAAATTGATGAGATTGTTACTTTTAGGGTTTTTGGAAGGAAAGAAATAGTGGGGTATTTTAGAAAATTACTTTTTATTTGGAATTACCCTAGCAAATTAGAGGATCTTCCTCTTGATTTATTTTTGCATATTTTTTATGATTTGAATTTCATTTGAAATTCAAATCAATAAATTCCAAATACAAAAATTGATTTAATCATGTGAATTCAATTCTATTCATAAGATTTCAAACAGTATAAAAAGCTAAGCAATTAATTGTTTCAATTGATGTTGCTCCTCCTTCAATCTTTTTTTCTTATTCATATTCATGTAGTTATTCTTTTAATTTAATCATTTTACAATAATTTTATTGAAGATTTATCTTTATGGTTTGTTTAGATAAGCTTGACATGAGTTATTCATGGGGTAAAAAAACATTTCACCATTGATTTAGCTTCAAGTTTTAAAAAGTAATTATATGTGAGCTCAGTGTAAAAAATAAAAATTATTTAATTAACCAAATGATTTTTTCTCTGTAATTAGATAAAAAATAAAAATTATTAAAATACCAAAACTTATTATATTACTGGAAGCATTGTAATCAAGATAAATTACAAAACAACGCTATAATATAAAAAAATGAATGAATCAAGAAAAATATTTAAAAATCATAAAAAAAAAGAGATAAGTACCTAAAACTTATTCAAATGCATGAATTTTAAGAGATAGATGGATGTTTACTAGAGATGGGAAGATTTTATGATACTCACAGCATATTAAAAAAATGATAAAAAAAAAACTCTTTTATTATTTTTATTTTATTTTCTCTCTTATTTTTCTTTTATTTCTGTGTCTACTTATCTTTTATGGTGGTAGTCATTACTGCTTTCGTTAGGATTATAAAATATATAAAGCATGAAATATATGCTTTTCATGGCCTCGTAAACAAACGAAATCTTAAGAACATCCGCTATTATGCTTCATAAATATTTCGATCTATTTGTTGCTTCACTTTCTCGTTTTCCCCCCTTAATTTCATGTTATTTTCAAATTATTTTCATATATATACAAAAATAAATATATCGATCTATTTGTTACCTCACTTTCTCTTTTTTCCCCCATAATTTCATGATATTTTCAAATTATATACAAAAATAAAAACATTTATTGTTTTTCGGCCGAATTGTTGCTGAGAATAACGTGTTCGTGAGATACAAGGGTAAATATTTATTTTTATTATTTAATATCTCGTCAATCTCCCTTTTACACTGCTCGAATTATTTTCTTCTCTTCATTCCCACAGTCTCTCGTTTTCCATCTCCCAAACAGGGTGTAACTCTGAGATTAGCATGTACCATGAAGAATAATTCTTTTACGAAAGTGAAAAACTTTACCCGAAAGCCTGCTGGCGTTGGAAATTCAAATTCTGTTCAAATAAACAATTTGAGGGAGTGAAAGCAGAGCTAAAGAGGAAAGGAAAAGGGAGTGGCAATCGATTGCATGTCAAAAAAACAGAAGACCAAAAGTGGCAATGATTCCAAAGGAGGGTCCGAGAAGGGCATCACAATCGATGGCTTGCATAACCATCATCATTATCTCTGCTAAAGCTACTTTAGACCCATCAACTACAGTACATGGTGCATATTATAGCCTACCAAAACCGATTTTTTTACACAAATTGCAGCGAATTGCTTTGTCTCTCCTCCATTTTACAGCAGCGGCAGCAGTAAAACCACAGAAACTAGAGGCATGTGAAATCCAAGGAACCCCACTGCCACCTGCATTTCCACCCAAAACCAAAAAGAACACCCCACAGTTAAACACCCTATCAAGACCAGTCCAGCATAATATACAATACGCAATATTTTTTCTATATTTTTCTGATAAATCGAAAGACACTTTACTGGTTCAGTATATTCACACATGGGCATTGCTTAATTCAGAAACTGTGCTGTTTTTTTTTTTTAATCTGAGAAGAAAAACTCTGAAAACCTTTCGTTTTTAAATTTTCTTTGTTCAATTCATCAAAACATAGTAGTAACAAGTAGACATAAAAAGAGAGATGGACTGTATATACCAGTTTATGATGGCCGGAGGTGGGCAAGGGCCTAATAGTGGCAGAATCAATTTCACCAGTAGGCAGAGGAACAGCAGGGTTGCTATTAATAAAAGGAATACCGCTACCACCACCTTTATCTGGCATCAATGTTGGCACTGTCGCCATTGGAGAGCTTGCAGCACTACCACCAGGTTCAGGAGCAGGGGAAAAGGCTGTTTCATCACGAGGACGGGATGGCCACTGGTACGCCGGAGATGATGACACAATGTCGCCTGGAATTTGTGCTGGAACTGGAGGTGATGCCGTTGGAGGGAGTTGTGCCGGTGGTGGTGGTGCTGCTGGAGAGACCTTTATGGAGAGTTTTTGTGAGTCTTGATTGCAGGATTTTAGGGAGCCATTGTTGAATGTGAAGTAGAAGAAACCAGGGCGTGATGGGTGCCACTTCAGTTATTTGCAGTTTATACATGAAAAATTGTTAGCACATTTTAGAGTCATAGCTCGGAGGAGCAACAGAAAAATGGAAAAAGATTTTAACTTTTTGATAATTATTGTCTTCAGGACCCAAGAATTGTGAGCCAAGATTTTGACATTTTTGTAGCAGCCTTTAAGCATGTAAATATGGAGAGATAAACATGGGATTTGTACATTGTTGACATTCCAAATGAGTGAGAGGGAGAAGAGATACCGTGTAGGAGGTGGAGTTGGCCCTGGTGAGAAGTGTAGCTTGAGTGAAGTTGCAGATATTAAAAGCTCTTTGGTTCTGGAAAATGTACAAGCTGTAGCGATACTTGTGTTTGAAAACTGAGAGAAGCCAATAAAAATACAAAGAAATGCTATCAATTAGCCCAAAACGGTAATAAAAGAAGAAGATTGCAAGCAAGAAACGGTGGGTTTTCAAGTACTTACTGATGGAATCTCCTATATAAACATTGGGGTCTTTCCACTCTGAAACGCCATCCACTAGTATTGTTGTGGAGCAAGAAGGTTGCGATAGTAGAGAGAGAAGAGATAGCAGAAGGAGAAGCGTGGAGGGA